GCAGTAAGGCCAATTCGTAAAACAATAAATTTAGCGCAACTGCTAGACTAAACCTCCTCTGGATTACTAGCTTGATAGTTTTCTAGCCGGTACCAAGCCCGGATAAAGAGGGAGGGTTGGGGCGTGGTGCTAGCAACTCCACCCCAAAACTCAACCAAACCGCTACAGAAACTTCAATGCAACAATATATTAAAAATTCTAAAAATATAAGCATTAACCTTATTTTTCGCTGGAATCGGCGAAGGGAAATGACGCAGGCTGGTGAAAGCCTTCGGAAGCCAGTCAGCCGATGTGCCTTCTTTCGATGAAAGCAAAAATAAGGATGGGCACATGGAATGTTCGTACAATGTACGAAACTGGAAAGGCTTCCCAGGTAGCAGCAGAAATGGGAAGATATAGGATAGAAGTGATGGGAATCTGCGAGAGCAGATGGAACGGGTGTGGTAGGTGCCAGCTGCCAACTGGAGAGAAAATAATCTATTCCGGCCACCCAGAGGACAACACAAGCACACCGAGGGAGTGGCCATCATGATGTCACCAACAGCAACCAAAGCTCTCATGCAGTGGGAACCAATCTCCTCCAGGATAATGACAGCCAGGTTCAACTCACAAGGAAGGAAGATTACAATCATTCAATGCTATGCGCCTACAAACGTCTCCGAACAAGAGAAGAAGGAGGCGTTCTACAGACAACTACAAACAGTAATGGACAACGTCCCAAATGGCGATATCAAAATCCTGATGGGCGACATGAATGCGAAGCTGGGAGGAGACAACACAGGAAGAGAACTCACCATGGGTCGAGAGGCCCTCGGTGAAATGAACGACAATGGTGAACTCTTCTCAGACTTCTGCGCCTTCAATGATTTGGTGATTGGTGGTAGTGTGTTCAAACACAAGGATATACACAAGACGACATGGATTTCACCAGATGGAAACACCAAAAACCAAATAGACTTCATCTCAATTTCAAGAAAGTGGAGACGGAGCCTACTGGACACAAGGTCGAGGAGAGGAGCAGATGTGGGTTCAGACCACTATCTAGTACAAGGGACTTTCAAGGTGAAGCTAAAAGCCTCGAGGATAGCTGGGGATAGGCCACAATGCAAGTTCAACACTCAATTACTGAAGGACACAACCACAAAAGACACTTTCACTGCAACTGTCAGAGCAAAGCAGGAAACACTACGCGACATCACTGAAGAATCATGCGTGGAAGAACATTGGAAGTCTCTGAAGGCGATTCTCAACGAAACGTGTTCAACGGTTCTAGGAAGAAAGAAGAGACAAGACAAGGAATGGCTCTCAACGGACACTTGGAAATTAATAGAAGAGAGGAGAATGGTGAAAGAGAAAATGATTCAATGCAAGGACGGACAGGAGAAGGAGACGCTGAGCTCAACTTACAAAACACTGGACAAAGAAGTGAAGAGGAGTGCTAGGAAGGACAAAAGACGATTCTACGACAACCTCGCCACTGAAGCTGAGAAGGCAGCAGGCAAAAGGGACCTGAGGACACTATATCAGATAACCAAATCTCTATCCGGGAAGAGATCAACACAAGCGAAACCTATAAAAGACAGCCAAGGGAACCCAATTACCAAGGAAGAAAGACAGATTAAACAATGGGCGGATCACTTCAAAGGACTCTTGAACCGACCATCACCTGCAACCCGTCCAGAAATACCAACAACAGCGCGCACACAACTGCAAGTTGACACCAATCCTCCAACGAGAGCTGAAGTCTTGAATGCAATCAAGCTTCTGAAAGCTGGAAAAGCAGCCGGACCAGATGGAATACCCCCTGAAGCACTGAAAGCGGACCCAGAGACTACAGCAGACATGCTGACTCCATTATTGCAAAAGGTCTGGAAGGAGGGAAAGGTGCCTACTGACTGGAGGAAAGGTTACCTCGTGAAACTACCAAAGAAGGGCGACTTAGCCTCACTCTGCAAGAACTGGCGAGGAATCATGCTCCTGTCGACGCCAAGTAAAATCCTGAGTCGCATCATCCTGGAGAGATTAAAGGACGCACTGGAGACAGAACTCCGACCAGAACAAGCTGGATTCAGGAAAGGCAAATCATGTACTGACCAAATTGCAACTCTACGCATCATCATCACAGAACAAAGCATGGAATGGCAATCAAACCTCTACCTCAACTTTATAGACTTTGAGAAGGCCTTCGACAGCGTTGACCGTGAAGTAATTTGGAAACTACTCGAGTACTACGGCGTACCCCAAATATTCATCAACCTTATTCAACAGCTGTACGACAACGGCACATGTCAAGTGATCCACAACGGAAAACTCAGCGAGGCGTTTGGAGTAAACACAGGAGTCAGACAAGGCTGCTTATTATCACCAATGATATTCCTAATTGTGGTGGACTGACTGGATTATGCGTCAGACAGTGAGTGGGAAACGAGAAGACAGGAATATCCTGGACCGACGTGAAGAACCTAGAAGACCTGGATTTCGCGTGTGGATGATTTATGTTTGATGTCACACAAAATCGAAGACTTACAAGCGAAAACCGACAAACTGGTCGAAGAAGCAGCCGGCGAAGACAGGACTCCAGGTGAACATAGACAAGACGGAGGTTATGAAAATAACCAACCAACAACAACAACAGCAACATCCAGCGTCAATCACCATCAACGGGAGGGATTTGAAAGAGGTTACTTCATTCACTTATCAGCTAGGGAGCATTGTCTCAACTACAGGAAGTCGGAACGGACGAGGATGTCAAATCGAGCGAGAATCATGAAGGCGAGAAAATCATTCAACAACCCTAAACCAATCTGGAAATCTTCGTCACTCAGCCAGCATCAACAACAAAATTCGGTCGGATTTTCAATACAAACGTCAAGTCAGTCAGTTCTTCTATACGGATCAGAAACTTAGCGGGTGGGTCAAAAAGAATATTTCCAACAGGTCACTGCAGACCTTTATCAACAACTGTCTTCGCTGGATCTATATTGAAGATCAGATGGCCTGGCCGGAAAGAATCGCCAACAAAAATCTATGGGAAGGAACAAAACAAGAACCAATCACCGCCAACAAATATGCAGGAGAAAGTGGAGAGGACTGGACACTCGCTGGGGAGGTCAGCTGCTGTGGGACATCGCGCGTCAGGCCATTGCCCGAGTTAAACCTGAAAGGGAAGCGGGGAGTGGGACGTCGGTGTATGGGTGACGTGGAGGAGATGGTGTGAAGAGGAGTGCAAACAGTATGGACTAACATGGATGCATTAGACGCAACTGCTAGACACTGAGTATCACAAGCAAGTAACTGTCCTCATTACCTGACTTGGTGGATTCAAATGGTTGCAACTTCTCAGTAGAACTTTAGATAACTTCCTGTATAGAGCCAGTTGCCAGTAAACATCAGATTAACTATCAAACGTTGCAGGGATTTGATTGGATTACACCAACTGGCAGAAGTCAGAATTCATAGAGCAGTGATTGAATGGTCTACAAGCTTGCCTCATGATCGGAACATCCTGGTTTCAAGCTTCAATAGTTAGGCACTCATGAAGAGTCCTACAGTAGGACGAAACAGCTGTCCAGTACTCCCTACTGGTCTTCTAATTGTACTCTAACCTTATATCAACTCGTGATCAAACCTGCAGCCAATCAATTCACCACAAACCAACACTTGATGACTACTCCATTATAGATAAGATTTTATTTTGATAAATCACACAGTGCTACACAGTAATATTAACTGACGACGTTTCGAGCACAAACTATTACTGCTCATAATCATATCAAGTTACTCACACAGCTTTTTCCTTCGTTTATATACATATGTGGAATTAACTAGATGTGTGTGATAATGTACATTCAGAAATAATAATACAAGTGTTATTGATCAATTACAATCAGATGGGAAATTAGACAAGTGTTTTTATAGTCATAATAAGTTACTTGTTAGAATGTTGTGATGTGCTTGAATTGAAACAGAATTTTGAGATTATTTATTATCCTTTTCTGATTTGAATGGTGGTAATAATAACTTGCATATCTCTGGTATTTCCATTGAGTCATTTCTGCTGCATGTGTTGGGGTTAAACTATTCGATGGTCCAGGATCCAGTAATCAGTCTCCCTATCCACCTACCTATATTACTTCTTAGAATTTTAACCCTCTCCCACCCTATTGTGTGGTTGTTTGTTATTGCGTGAAGTGCAGTAGCCGAGTCTTTTTCTAAATTACTTATCTTTCTGAGGTCAACCATTCTTACCTTAGCTAAATTCTTATGTTCTGATAATCTGACTATCCCTCACCTACTAGTTTGACCTATGTAGTTGACTTAACTCACAGTTATTGCAAGGTATTTTGTAAATTATATTATTTTGTCTTATTGAGTCAGCTGGGTCCTTTAACATAGAGAGCTTGTCCCTGAGTGAGTTTGTAGGTTTGAATGCCACCGTAATTCCTGCTTTATTAAGAATCCTACATAGGGTCTCAGATGTCCCCTCCTTATATGGTATAACAGTGGATGACTTATATTCTTTCTTATTTATGTTATCATTGCTAGTTCTAGAATTATTTTTATTTTGCTTTTGGCCTTTACTGATCTTCCTAATGAATTTTATAGGATGGTTAGTTATTTAACACCAACGCCTCTTCTTCTATCTGTTTTACTTTATCATTTAGGTCTTTTCTTGTGCTTCTCAGTGCTACTGCTCGGTTTGTTAGACACTCAACTGAGCCTGCTTTAACAGTTAATAGGTGAGATGAATTAAAGTCTAAATATCTATTAGGAGAATGCGTTGGTTTGTGTGTGAGTAACTTGATATGATTATGAGCGGTAATAGTTTGCGCTCGAATCGTAGTCATCAGTAAATATTACTGTATAACACCACTGTGTGATTTATCAACATAAAATCTTATCTATAATGGAGTTATAATCACTCTACCACAGTGCCCAAGTTTTAAACTTATATCAATAACTTCTTCTAGTTTAATAAGAAATTCAAAATTGAAACATTTAAGTGGAAAGCGATACGCGTATATGTATATATTATCAATATTGTAATATGTACAAATTTAAATGTATTTCTCTGTCATAAAGAACATTTACAAATGAAACAAAGCATCCATATTTGTATTACAAGTAGGAAAAAAATCTTTCAAGATTAAAACAAAACAACACAAACGCTCAACAGGTTCAATACTTTTTAATCAATGTTTTACCTAACCATTCTTGAACATTTAACTGACCTAAATATTTACGATTATGACGTTTGAATTTGTTATTTTGTTTAAAATTTATGCATTGTTCATGAATATAAGTGGGATACACTGATATCTTGTTACTATTCGCAAGTAGATTATGATTTAATTCTGTGTGTGTACTGTTTGAAGCCAATGGGCAGGCAGTGGATTTACCCGGTGACTCACCTATCCCATTGTTGTTTGTATCACTTAGTGTAGAATACATAGGTAAGACAGATTTGGCACGTTTTTTGATATGATGTTGCTGTTGTTTTTGCTGTTGTTGTTGCGGCTTGATAAGGGAATCTGTTTGTTATACCCTGTACTAGTATGCATACAAGTAGCTTTGTCATGATCATGATATTCACAGGTTTGTTTTATAGATTTTCTCTGGTCAGAAGATTGGTTTTGAATCATCCTTTCAGTTTTTGTCTGTGGTTGACTCGATGAACGATGGAATGACTGATGATTGTGGAGATTGTATCTGTAAAAAAAGACATGCATCAAGAAGGGAAGACTGTTTCTCTCCATTTCATGAAGAGAAATTATCACAGTATGATTGAAAAGACACTTGGAAGATTTAATAGTTAATTGGTACTTCTAAAACCGGGGAAAAGCAGGATAATTAAGCGTATGGTTATCAAGCCTATCCTGGAAAATCAGTTGAACCCTTACGAAATATAACTAAACTTATTCCTTACTAACATGGGAGAGATGATATGACACAGACTACTAAAAGATTTCAGGAAGGTAGTCAGCTGATGTGTCTTCTCCTTGAATGAAAGCAAAGATAAGCGTCGGAATATAGAATTTTTGTACAATATACACGGCTGTGAGGGCTTCTCAGGTTGCCGAAGAAATGAGAAGATATGGAGTTGTGCTTATGAAGCCGTATGTTCCACTTCGAATTCAAGAGAACAATAATACAGTAACAAAGATAATAAGCTCACGTCTAATTTAATGTACCACATTGGCGGCCCGCTTAAAACTTGAACTACCAAAGACTTCAACCTCTGTATTACATATATATTTTCCTTCAATCGGTTTGTTTTAACCGTTTAACATATGACCGCTAATAGTGTTATCTATTTTTGCGTGTATTTAAAACGTTTACAAGTTTCTGTTTCGCAAGTTCCTACTAAACTTGGGGAATAGGCTGATTATGGGTGGCAACGTGTTCCAGTACATGAGATAACTGTTCTTCAGTTATGTTCCTTGGTCTCAAAATTTTCTTCTGAACATCTCACAATTAGCTTCTAACTAGATCGATATCGTGGATTTCTCGAGGGAAGGAGACAAAGCGGATATATCATAATTGAATGGTTTGTGCTTAAGTTCAGAGATCAGTGTGACACAGGAAGGATATACGGTCAATACATTTTTTACTTGAAGATATTCTACGCAGGGAAAATATCATGTAATAAACTCCTGTGAAAATTCTGTACATTTTGTAAATACTCTCCAGAATAAAGATGTTATTACAATAATTATTATTAAAAATAAATAAGTAGTCACTTGAATATAACTAGGACTCAGCGAAGGCGTGATTTAAAGTAATGCAATTATGGTTCATCTGCGAAAAAATTATTCCTGGAGGGTATACAGTGATTAAAAGGAAATGGACACTTCCTGGTATGAGTAATTGTACTTGAAATTTGAGGTGACTATGCAAAATAATCCAGTTTCTCCTACAACTATCTTATGGAGAAATAAGTTTAGTGGCTGTTACAACTATGAAGCATCAGTCGCTTGCATACCAGTTGCATTGAAATTTTTATTGAACCTCAAATTTCCTTTGAAATCTCCTTTTAACTATTAAGCTTCGTCTACGCCTCGTTGTGGTGTTAATCATTTGTAGAAGCTTAAGTAGACACCTTCAATGAATTCGACTTACAAATGCAGTTATTGTCATTTACCTCATTATGGAATTAGGGTAAACAGGACGGCCAGAAACACATTTGCTCAACTCACTGAACAGTTATTAGTAAATATTGTTTTCAGTGGAGTTGTAAGAACCATTTTGTGCTGAAAAAATCTAGGTCCAAATTAACAGTTGAGGATTTAAAAAAAGCCACCTGTCACTACCAGACAACTTCAAGGAACATTTAGCTCCACTTATGCACATAAATTACACTGCTGTCTTAAAATGTTTCTGTAAATTAGTTTGAAGATTGTACTACCAAGAATTGTTTAGAGTTTTCATGACTGAATTGAAGTCTGTATAGGAACATGGCAGACTCAGAATAAGCCTAAATTTAAGTTTACGTCTCATGTTGTTATGTGTAGGAGTTACTAGGGAGAATGCATTGAGTTTCCGTCAGTAAGATCGCTAGCTCGCTTCCTTTTTTACTGGTCTAAGGACAGGCTGATGGTTGCAACTGTAGATATCAGTTGTTTAGAAATATCAGAACAACATTTGAAGCCTGCTACGAGCTAACAGGTATACATATTAGTTGATTCTAGAACTATCAAAGAACTAAAATGACTTTAAATTGAGACATAATAACGCTAAGCCAATGAAATAAAAAGGTGCAGAGATAATACAGTTAGTGATTCAATGATATTTGCAGTACAGTATGTTTCAATTTAACGGTAATTTAAGCAGGTTCAGTTGAGGTTATGCGTCTCTCTTAATCCTATCACGACTCATTCATTGTTACAATTCAGCAGTGAGATTAATACTGTGTGTTTCTTTTTCTCATGATATCTGATTACAGGGGTATAGGTCATTTATGATATTGCGACCTTAATATTTCGCAGTAGTATTGTGTTTGAAGTAGCATAGGAACACCGATGCTGGACACAGACACTCTGGTCACGTCTACCGCTTCACTACGCCAACAACATTCTACGGCAGTTACCTGTTTACTCAGACCGCTGTACTTAAGCCAGAACATAAAATGACATGAGATGGAAAGTATATTTAGCATAATCCGCATAACAGGTGTACCAAAGAAAACATTGATATGTATATATATATATGTACATAAGAATACTAGCAGCTTCATCCCCGAGCATGTTGTCAACTCTGGATTGTAAGCACACTCGTATGAATGCTTCACAGTGATACACAGACTCCGTCAATATCGTACATAGGCACTTAGCGTACTTCATCTGTGCATACTTGAATCATTGGCTCTTTAGGATATGGAACCATACCTTTGCATTCAAAAGCGCTAGATACATTCAGAATAATGTTCTTGCTATAATTTCGCTTCATTATATTACGTAAGTTTACTATTATTATTATTGTTATTCCTATCATCCTTACTTTATTACCACTCTACTCCTGTTTATTATTAACATTACGTATTCATACAGATTTTATACAGAAAACATGTTATCATCTTTCCGCTAGTTCTTGTCCACGCTACACAATTATATTGATTAGCCATTTTCTCACACTTAGTACGTCGTCCCAACTTCTGTCGCCTTTTCTAATTTCTAATCAGTCACCCTTCGAGATTACACCCTACATTATGTAATACGTTTCTGAGGACAAATTTTATCAGCATATGATTTGTCTTGCGAATTCTTTATTAAATATAACCATGAATGTACAGCTCATGAAAATGAATCGTCGAAAAGAAAATTTTCTTCGCTGTTTGTACCTTTTTCTTAAGACTAACGGAGTATGCGTGAGAAGAACACAACAAAGAGCATAGACATGAACGAAAATATACGGACTAACCCGAATCACCATTTCACCATAATCATGTGATATGTTTGACTGCATATCAAGGAAATTACTATTATACATTCCATTAATATGAACTTGAAACTTTCAGAACTATCCAAAGTTAAGAAGCTCCAATCATTTTTGGTAATTTAATCGATAACGTAGAACGTCAGTCGTATATAAGATTCTAGAGGAGCGACACTTATTATTACCGACTATGAAACATTGGAGTAATATGATCACTCTCTGGTGACAAGTTTAATTTTCACAAAGGATAATTGTTTACACCACCTACTAATCATTAATCGTCAGTATTTCCATGGTAGAATTATTCGTTGACCACACATGTAGTCAAGTGTTCGATCTTCGGCTGACATAATCTTAAACCTCATTTACAGCCGCTAGTCAGTCCAGTGTAGAAGAAATCTTTAGTATGAGGTTAGCAACCTCACCGCCGTAAAAAATAAACACTAGTTCTACTGAAACTTTAAGGCACTCCTAAGTATAATAGTGGCCCTCAGCAAAAAATTAAAATTCAACTCAACAAACTTACGCTATCCTGTCATCCTTTGAAATACGCTTTCTATTCCTTGAACAATTGATTTGACTCCATAATGGAACAAACCATTGACGACAATGATGACAACAAAACATTGGTGTAGATGATTGATTTCTAAAATGATTGACATTTGTATTTGTAGCCGCTAATTTATCATTTATATTATCCCCGACAGTATTATTACACATTCCTATCGATTTTTGTCCATTACATTCTGATTTATGCGTATTCAAACCACACTGACAGTGTAACATTGTTGTTGTCGTCGGTGGATCAAATCGATCATTTATGGGTGATACACACTTCAAATGATCACAACGAGTATTTTCTATTGAACAATCATGATGCGGATTCCATTGAATGTTATTAAAATTTGTTTTAAGGCACAATTCCTCAGTAGTATAATTACAACAGGGTGTAAATTGTCTACAGCATGAAGAATTATGATTGTAATTAGAATAATTGAACTGCGAAGTTGATAATATATGACAACTGTTTCGTTTAAATTTACTATTATCATTCAGTTTTACTGGACAATGCTGTAAACAATGTTGCCGACGCTGATCATGATTACACAGCTGCTGATTACGTGAACATTTTGAGTTTCTACTTTGTTTATGCCTCTTTAGTTGGTATTCAACTGAATTTCTCTGATTTAAATTCCCATTAACAGAGTGTGTTTGATCGGTTGATAAGAAATGGAATTCGTGTTTGTCCACCTGTTCATTATCTTCGTCTCTACTTTCTCCCCCGACGGCTTCTTCTTCTCCTCCTCTTTGTTCTTCTTGTTCGGCATTCGTATCGTTGGACACAGTTTTCTTCGCTTTATGATTATTCTCAAAGCTTTGTGGACAAAGTGAACAGGCGATTCGATTGCTTTGATTCGATTTATACATAGCTTGATGGAATAAATTCCTTGTTGCCGTTGTTGTTCGATGTTTGCGTGTTGTTCTCCGTTTCCTTTTATGATGACTAGTTCTTTTCATATCTAATGAAGATAATGACAAGGTGGACTTATCACTCCATGAAGTGTTTTTATCGATTTTAGCCCCCAGAGTGGCAAGAATATGTGTCTTTTTCAGTTTATTGCCTTCTGCGCCATTCCTCGTCATTGTGTGAATATCTCCAGTTGGGATGTTGTCATTTCCATTGTCGCGTGTATTATTCATCGAGGTGACAGCTGATTTCCTCGAGAAATCATTAGGATTCCATTTAATACATAATCGCCATAATTGGTGTTCATCTTTATTAACAATTTCATTATTATTATTAGTATTATTATCATTCATTGATTGTTTCTGAGCATCATTTGAGCCAAAACTACCCAGTTTAAGATGCTGATGGATTTTTTTGTCTGTCGCCTGACTTCTTGAATTGTTGGCATTCGTATTCATATGACAGCATTGATCTAGTTTATCATATTCTGATAATTTTTTGATATATCCTTTTGAACCGTTTGTTTTATGACGTAATCTAGCTGCGACTATGGCAAAAATTGAATGAATCAATGCAGTGTCATCCTGAAAAAAATTAGTGGGGAAATAAAACAGTATTATGGAAAAATTGGAAATTTTAGTTATTGCAGAAATAGTTAGCAGAAGATTTTAAACTTTATGAGCAAGGATCTAAGCTGTAAACAAGCTGACTCGCCTTAATCAAACGATACGCTCTTCAGTACAATTAAAGGTCGACAAATACTCTTTCTACGTTAGCTTAGATTGTATGTAAAAGTTTACGTGTATCCACGCAATCAGACATACTGAAAGAACAAAAAGAAAGGCATGTCTTTTATTTTATGAACGTCAACAGGAAAGTCTACGTCTCAGAGGAATAAACCTTTACAATGATGCCACTGCTGGGCATCTCTTTAATATGTATGGGTCATAGGGTAAACATTCCGAAATCCTCTAAAATTATCAATAGACAGTATAGTCCAGTTCTTTTCAGGTTTGCCAAAGGAATCGCAGCTGCCAAAGGCTTCAAAACCTGACTTATGCGTTCAGAAAGAAGCAGTTATTAGTTTTTTCTTTGTCCTGGTAACTTGGCGCCTTTACTCTGTCTCTTGTCCAATTACGTAACGTTCGGCTCAGACCTCTATTGTTCCTCTCTTGTTTAAGTTGAACTCACTACACATTGATACTCAAGTTATTAGTGTTACTCATTGTCTTATTCATCTCTTGTCTTCAGTACATAAATTCCCTGCCAATGTACTAAAGCATTTCTTTGTAGTTTAAACTTCAACTCTCTGGGTATAAAATATGTAGGTTTTATTTTTTGAGCATTGGTGATTAAGTTATGCGGTCTACCGTCATCAACTGACATTATGTAACATTTGCAAGTACGTTAAAATTGTTTCTGTACAAAAAGCTTATTAACAGCTGATTAGGTGCCGATGAAATAAAAAGGTTTGTACCATCGTATTCTCGGAAAACTGATGTTGTGCTTACTTTAATCAAATTCACAAAGAAGCATAAGTGTATTGTAGATGACAAAAAACAGGTTCTATAAACCCAGAAAGTATAACCACATGGATTAATGGAATCCTTTTTAAACGATTTTTTATGTTTTTATATATATGTGTAAGACTTGAACGCTTATTGAGTCTATCACAGTGAAATAGCATGATTTACCACATGGCGTATCGGATATACAAGTCATTGTTCACAGTCATATCATCAATTGTAACTACACGGCTTTGAAACTTAGTTGCCATAGTTGAACTTCATTTTTCTAATTTATCGTAAGATTAATAAATAGAAGGAGAGACTGATAACTGAAGAGTTATTTATCAAATTAGTTGAGAAAGCTTTGACACCTGCTCTGAACATCTCGAAAATTCTACCATCCTTAGCGACAAACTGGAAGGAAGGATGCCAAATATAAAAATCAAGTTTCGGAATTATGTGCTCAATAATTTATCTAATTGAAAAAATACTGTTTCACTGTGTGATTTATCCAAAAAATAAATTAGTTTGTTGGAGGATTTCACCATGAGCTGGCATCGGTTAGAGAACCATTCGAAAACCAACAGGGAGTACTGGGCAGCTGTTTCGTTCTGGTTTGCGACTTTTCATCAAATCTCATGCTAAGTGGTCGCGCCATGTCGTGAATTGGCAAAAGTTGAAATTCATGGACTGGCTATTAGATCGGGTTCCAATGGCTTAATGGTCAACGAGCACACCTTTATTCTCTCCAGGATGATGCAAAATTGTATTTTACTTAGCGTGGACAAGGGAATTATTCCACGCCATTTCTTGCAGAGGCGTAAATAGCCTCTTTGGTAGCATGACAAGCGAGCCAGCATTTCTTTCAACCAGTAGGTACATTTTATTCTTTCCAAAACTTTTGCAATAATGGCATGTGAGCACATCTACTGCAATCCGTGGGTCTGTTTTCAGTGCTTCTAGGGAAATTCTTTCCGGACCTGTTGCCTTCCCTGCTGGATTTTAGTAGCTTGATCCCATTCAAGATTTCTGCTTTCTTTGGAGGATTGGTGCCCATTGGCAGGCAGTTCTGTACGTGCTGTTGGTTGAGGTATATTTCTGGCCGAGTTGCAGGTGATGGTTGATTGAAGAGTCCTTTGAAGTGATCAATCCATTATTTTCTTTGTCTCCCTCCGCTTGGTAATTAGGTTCACTTGGACACCTTTCATAGATTTTATTATATGGGTTGATCTCTTCCAGGATAGAGATCCGTCTATATGATATGATGTTCTGAGGTCTGTTTTACCTGTAGCCTGTCTGTTCTGCTTCAGTTGCCTGCCAGTGTGACGTAGAACTGTCTTTTGTCTGTCCTAGCACTCTTACTCACCTCTTTATTCTGTGAGATGTACATTGCATTCATCTTCTCCACAACACATTGGGTTCGTTTGTTACATGCCAGAGACACCGTTGGATAATATCACGTACCAGGCTCTTTGGTACAAATCAAATGCGAGAATGATATAAAGAAGATCATACAGGGAAAAGTATAAAATTATGCTTGTCATAAATCCAGCTAAAAAGGTCTTAACAGAACACAGTTCAACAGAGGCGTGCTTCTGCAGATCTATTTCGCAATTGAAACTCAAAGGAGCAACAATAACGATAAAAAAATAATCATATGATAGTTTTAACTAACACTCACTGTGGATTCATGTTACTTCACCATCAAAGGAGACATTTCTTTTAAATATACTTACCTGTTTTTGGGTGTATGAATCAACAACTAGATAGTCTAGGGTGGATAGGTCGAATTCTGCCGAAGAAAACTACGAATTTACCTTCCTTATCTATCAAATGACTAACAAACTTTAATGAAGTATTTTCTACTATTCAAAATTAATATCTAGTCAGTTACAGCCTAGTTTTATGAATATTAATCACGACAGATTTATCCATTCATAGGATCTAGTTAGTATTGATAAACAGATCGTAGCTGTTTCAAAGGTCACAGTTTACTACATTTTTTAAAATATTGTAATGTGTCATTTCAGTCTGTGACTAAAATCAGAAACGCTGCTTCATACTTTTTATTTTCCAGTCATTTTAGTTGATCTCCAACTAAATCACATCAATATTATTTTTATTTTTTTAAAATTATTTTAGTATACCTTGATTCCACACAGTGTTTTGATACAAGTATGGAATTATGAGAGTGTGATATCGGTAGCTGAAATTTAGCAGGCTGAACAATTGATATCAGGTGTGCGTTGGCCGGGGATCGAACCCCAGACCACGTGCATCGTCGGTGAGCATCCTAACCGCTGTGCCACCAACGCTAAACAGAAATGGATATCTGAAAAAGTTTTTGAATAAACACATGGAATCAGCAAGTAATCACCCGAGAGTACCCACTGTTTCCAAAAATTCAGTGTTCCTAAGGGGTCACAATTCACCGGAGATGATAATCAGGAGATTTTATCACAACGTCTGAGAAAGGCTTTCAAAAAGGCTTCTAAAACAGCTAAGTTATGCTGTATGCTCACTAGGCAGTCAATACTTATTTAATTCAATTTTATCGTGGCCCAATTGGTCTAGTGGATAATGATTTGGCGTTTGAAACTATGGGCACTGGATCCGAGCCTCGGTGGGAACATCATCACTCACTGCGGAATGCAAGTGCATCCAATGGCTGACGAGTCCCAAAAAGGACGAAATACGCATCCTGGATTTCAATGCTAGTCACCATCCACCAATTAACAATCAATACGTAGTTCAAGGAATGAAGAAAAAGCTGCTCTGTTTTGTCTCTTCCACGTGTATTTACCATTTTAACTGCCCGTGTTGAGCTAGTTACACTGGGCGCCCGATAATGAAATTTCTGGACACCTTCCACCTTGCTTTGGGAAAGGTTCAAATAAAGCTATACGGAGCTCAATACTAGCTCATCTCGTCAATACTGGACATCAGGTTGACTCTAACATAGGTTTACTGGTTTTTTTATCATGTATCACCCAACCACTTGCATGGTCTAGGAGTATGACTTTCACACACAGCAGAGGCAATCGAAATTCATCTGAACAAGCCACATCAGTGTATTCCAAAGGAATATGTGGAACCCTTTTTTCTTGCCATTGCCAACTATTTTTTTCCCGTCTCCTTGTAACTATCTTTTGACTTTGTTAGTTTTCACAATTCTACCTAATTCGATTAACTTGTTTCTATTTTACGTAATTCTTCTGAGTCATCCTATTCTTCTTAGTCATGATTACTACTTTAAAAATTTCTTCATTGTGTAATAACTTGTTGCTAACTCCTAAGAACTAACTTTCTTGAAGGCTATAATTAAGTTTCACCCCTGTCTCCTTCAAAAATTAGATACCATGTTGCTATCATCTACTTATTAATAGTTTTTATGACCTTTAACCTCTTATTTTCACTCAATCCCTATACCTAAAACTTCTGCGTCTTACGGACTAAAATAATCACAAAGGTGGTATAATTTTGACGTAAAAACCAAATGTTATCCTACAGCCAGTGGGTAATGAGGAACTAATTGAAAAGGAATGCATATTTCTTCGCTCAGTCCGTTGTTATTTGTAAATGCGTAAATGGGGAATTTTTCAAATCTCTAACTGCCAGTATGCCCACAGTAAATCATGGGAATCTTGATTCCTTTTTTTTTTACTGTGATCTTTACAACAGACCAGAAGATCACAAGAATGCAAAGACAACAACAAACTGATCAATACATACCTCTTTTGTGTTATGCTCATCTTCAAAATCATAAAAGGTAAATGACCAATGCTTTTGATATTGACATTTCGATATGCTATCATATGTATTCATAAAACATGAATTGGAAGATGACAGTGACGCTAATGACTGACAATTTGATGAAGAATTTGATCTTCTCTGTCTTGTTGGTTTACATGATCTGTGTAGCCTGGATCGACGATAATTTCTGTCGATATCTGGATCAACCAATGTTTGCCCACTGTTTGAACGACTTGTATTAAAGTGAACATTTGGTGAATACGGTTTATAAGGGGAATAATTATTGAATAAGACATGACTGTTATTCAATGAATCATGAATTGTCATTGTTTCATTGATATTTACAGTGGTGTCATGTTGACTTCCAGAGTTCAGAATCAGTGAATTCCTGGCATCAGATGCCCCAGTTATTGGAGTTGTATATATTAGTTTCTCTGGCTATAAATTGTATAATGAAACGATAAATCATTAAGCTGCATTAAAAAATATCTTTAAGGTAGTATAACTGAAGAAAAAATAGACAATTTAAATTGGAAAACCAGAAAGTACTCAGCAGTTGTTTCGTCCTAGTTTTGGGCTCTTTAGAAGTGCACAGCCTTAGGCTTTCGAACCCAGAATCTTCCAGTTACCAGGTAAACTTATAGACCAACTGATCCAACAGTTTAATAACAGAACATCTGGTGAATTCTAGACATTCAGCCCCACTTCAAAAGTCCTTCAAAGTCATATACAAAACCCTATCCAACCTGCCAAAGGGACTGAAACCAACACACCTAGGAATAGCTGAAGCACTGGAGATTTAAAACTCAAGCCTACTCTATGCGCCCAAAAGAAATACGTTCAACCGTTCAACCCTACCGTGGACATAATGAAAAGTCAGTCTCGCCAATAATGATTATCCTGTTACCTTTCTTGTACAACCTCCCAGTTTATCTGTTATATTTACCTTTTTAAATCCCTATCTGCATTATTAAATTTGGTTACTGTTTTTATTTTGATATGTCCTAACCTCCTAACCATTTGGTTAATACTACGTCCTTAACCCGTAATTATACAGAATGACGAGTTTTGCAGCAATTATAATCCTATTTTGTCTTTCCTATATGCCAGTTTAGCATATGTCAATTTAAGCCATCTCTGGCGTAGACGTGATATCCGGCTATCGACCGAAGGGCATGTGTACTGCTCAGGAGTTCTCTCCATCCTCCTTTATGGCTGTGGGACCTGACCATTGAGAGTGTAGGGCTTAAAAAGACTAGCTGTCTTTGATCACAGGTGTCTGCGCTCTATCTCCCGTGTGAAGTGGTATAATAAGGTGAGCAGTATTGAGGTTAGGCATTGGTTGAGTGCTAGGTAGGTAGGGGAAATCAATAGACGAGGCTGTGAAGTTACATCGATTGAGATGGTTAGGACATATGTGACCTATGCCAAGCCATCTCCCTCCTCGACAACAGGTAATGTTAGCTGACATATGATGAGTCAGGTTGGAAAACAGCCAGTTGTCGGCAAACCGAAACATGACCTTTCAGTCAATGAAATCCACAACAGTTAGTTTACTCAAGCGACGTAGGAAGGCGCAGACTTCCTGGCAGAAGTCCTCGGGACAGTAAACACCAATGGCTGAGGACAATCGGTGATAAGGCTCAAAATCATTTTCCATGGCGGAGGTGCATCCACTCCTTGTGACTTAAAATTTTCAATGAAACTATATTGTTCCTCGTTATTTCTATTCCTTTTGTCTCATATCCCTGTCTACTGTCTCTATTTTACATTTCTCCTACTTTCTTCTCTTGCTTTGTGTGCTGCATGGAGTGTAGCAACCTGAACTGCTGCACATCGGTGCAGAGTTCTCTGCTGAGAACAGTCACAGTCATAGTTTATACCCAACCCTTGACCCGAAATAATTCTGGAACTTTTCCACTCATTCACTATAAATACACGAATGTACAGCTGTCTAGTTGATGACTTGGCGAAAAGAAAATTTTCTTCGCTGCGACCGTCTCTTTAACATATATATATATATGTACAGTAAACGATGCTATACATGATGATAAAGACTTATTTGCTACCGTGCAAAATCTATTTTAGATAACAAATAATGTGGTCTTGTTTACAGGACTGTGAATTTCCTGACTGTAATTCACAAGATCCTTTAAGCATTATGCAGCCTAGAGTCATAACTAGTAGGACTTAAAACCGTTTACAGCAGATTAGCTTTATTCATGCTATACCTTCTAAAATTTGAACGCTTAATCTCTAATATCCTCATTATTGTTGCTTCTAATATCTATGTTATTCCGCTCAATGTCACATTTTCTCCTTCTCTACACTGGATGACGTAAACATAATATCGCTACATTGATAATATATACGTAATCTCCTTGTCTCTATTTGTAAGCTTATCAAAAATCTTATGACAAATATTCACGGTCAACTGAAATAGTAGAAAAGGCTGATTTATCTCTTCCCTGAACCGTGTGTTGAGATAAATTTTTGACTTATATTCAAAGGCGATAATGATCAAAGCAGGCAAAACTGAAAATTTCGGCTAGTTATCTATGCGCCGCTATCGTTTGGTTTTTTTCTAATCTCATCATTTCAGTCATAATTGTTTGACAATAAAATGACTGAATTTCAGCTTATATTATATCCTTGAAATAAGTTGTCAAAGTAGGGTTTTGCATAAAAGATCAGAGTTAAAAATTTGTCCACAGTAGACGAGAAACAGGAACAATCAGATGGAAAGTAGTGAATTACTGGCTTACGTCGATTTGTTCCTGTGGTCGATTGATTGGACTGAAATGTTTGACCACACTATTGACCGATGTCTGAACCTTGACGAGGATTAATTTGGTGGATGGTGATTAGCAGTGAAACCCAGGATTCGCATTTCCTTCCTATTTAGGATGAATGCCTGCAGTCCCCAGTGAGTGATTCGATTCCAGTGTCCATCGTTTTAAACACTAGGGCCACTAAAGTAATACAATTCCCAAAATAGGATGAGATGTGTATTGTGGATCTCACTAATAGATTACGTTCACCAGAAAGCTAATAAAGATCTGTGAACCATATATGTGATCCATTTGACAAGCGTTTTATGCCTATCTGAGCATCATCTGCAATGTTATTCTATTTCGTCGCAGTAAGTCTTCAGATGATTTTCAGTATATATATTCTATTAGTTGATACTTGACGATTGTTGTATTATTTATGATTGTTCCTTTGAGTTCCGAGTGGAATATACAGCTTCAGCAGCGCATTTTCACTTTGTTTTCTCCCCTGCGGTCCTCTTCATCTCACCCCGAGATTGCCTATAGTCTTTCATCCCCTTCTTAAAAAACCTTTTCCATGTCACCCCCTAAAACAAATCCCGCCTCGTTTTTTTATTATTCTGGTTCCATTTGAGCGATAGTCTGACGCGTGATGTCACCTGACAGTCTCCTCAGTGTGTATCCGATCTGTCTTCATTTTCTGCCACATATTTGTTGAGCAATAGGTTCTTGGTTCATTTGTCCTCAGAGTTTCTTGTGGCTGGTTCTTTCTGGTCATTTGATCTTCAATATTAAGAAAGCAAAGGAAACTGCTGATAAAAGTCTTTAGACTGTTGGACATGCTTTTCATGACGCACCGAACAAGTTTCTGACCCATATACAAGAACTCACTGACTTAATATTGCTTTTAAAAGTCTGGATTTTATTTTTTTTTTGCTATGAAGTGCGAAAGATTCACAAACACCTTCAATTACGCTGACTGCCTGTGGTTGAAACGATGCTGCCTAGATAGTTGAAGGAAGTAACAATCGTTGCTTGTGACTGTCAAATCTCTTCCGATAATGGTGATTGGTGCTGGTTGTTGTTGTTGTTGCTGTTGCCTATTATTCTCCATCACCTCTGTCTTCCTTATTTTCCCTTAAAGTCCTGCCTTTGCTGCTAGCTTCTGCTAGATTTTTGGTTTTCGCTTGTAAGTCGTGGAGTTCGTATAACCTCAGATATAAATCGTCTGAGAAATGCAGGTCTTCTAGGGTTTTATTATCGGCTCCCATTATTCCTGTCTCCACATTCTTGACGCACATTGTTCCGCATAGTCCAGTCCATCAAAGTTGATAATATTGTCGGTGATATTGGATAGCGCTGTCTTACTCCTGTATTCATTCCAAAGACTTCCCTCAGTTTTTTGTTGTGGATCACTTCACATGTGTCATTGTCATTTACCCATTTGAATGAGGTTTGTAAAGACTTGCGGCAATCCGTACTATTGAAGTATTTTTAAGGTCACTTCTCAATCAGCTCCGTCGAAAGCTTTTTCAAAGTCGATGAAGTTGAGGCGGAGATTTATCTGCAATTCTATGCTTTGTGCAGTTCTGATACGTAGATCTGCGATTTATACGCACATGAGTTCCTCTTCCTGAATCCAGCTTGTTCTAGTGGGCAGTGTTTAACTTCCAGTGCTTCTTGTATTTCCTCCAGAATGACACGATTTAACATTTTGCTCAGTGTGAAAAAGATCATGATTCCACGCCAGTTCGTGCAGTGGCCTAAGTCTCCTTTCTTCGGTAGTTTGACATTGGGTACCTATTCTTCCTTCTAAACCTTGTGGAATAGTGATGACAGTTGTTTCACTGAAACTCATTTGTGATCTAAATTTTCCCCTCTCCTTATTCAGAAATCTTCATTTCATCGCTATAGACCGTAAAATTATGAGTCTAGAATACCACAGATCGCACGGTAACACCCTCATGATAAATTACTTAGATCGTCAGTATATTAATTAAATAATTAATTCTGTCTAAAATTACTGACGTGAATTCTTTACTTCGTCTAATTTTATTAAAAACATTAGGCTAGACACCGATTGCAACACCTATTCAGAATAACTAAAGAAATTGTTATATGGTTAACACTGTGGGAGGTATCACTGATGCGGCAACTAGATATACAGAAAAAAACCTTGAATTTTGTTGACTCTCAGTATGATTCCTTTTGCTAGTGTGCATAACATCTTAAGGTTATTCATTTGTCTTGTCCCATCAGCTTTGATGTTATAAGATAGTTAGGAGCAATCGGCAGGAAGCCTCACCTGACGTAGGCTTCGTGCTAGTTGGCACTTACCAGTCAGCGAGGCGTATCTGCAACCTTGAAGGAACTCATGTTCTGTCTTCTGAGACTCAAACACGCATCACCCAGTGCTGCAATCAGTAGGAGACGTTACCACTGTGGAGTTATTCGGGATTGCGATTGACCACCTATAGGACTGTATTGGATACCTTGACTGAACACTAGTAACTAGTGTGATGTGCCTAGTTTGAGTGATAGAATTCAGTATTCACTAAATGAAGGATTAGAAATATCCCACTGATTACTATCGCCCAGTCAAAGTATCATTAGCTTGAAGGGAACTAAAGCGAAAATTAAATCGTGTTTATTTTGGTAATATTTAAG